TTATCGTTAAACAAAAGTGCTTTCCACTGTTTTCTTTTGTTCTTTTCAATTCACGTCCTAATGTCTCAATAAAATATTTCATTCTATCATCAAGCAAGTGTAGCATCTGGTGATTTGTCTTATGAATGGGGTACAAGTCCATCAGTCAGGTCACCTGCTTTAACATTGTGAAATGACCGGTTAATTTGACAAGCAAGAAACCACTCCTTGATGTCTCTAAGATATGTTTATTTTAAAAGTTACTCTTTTCAGATTTGGGGAACTCTTGAAGTGGCTGTGAGTGCTTGTCCTCGAGGTGAAGGATTCGATCATTGATGTTCATCCCCTCGGAATTTTGTCGTTAAAGTCTAGTTTGCTATAAGACGTCATGCAAACTCATACGGTGGGAGAAGGGGGTGGGGAGTACCTGAAGATCTTCTTTTGGTTTTAGATGTGGCAAGATATATTAAAATTGTTTTCTGTTGAGAAGATTGCCCTCGGCTTGCTCTACAAGATAATACATACTTTTGAACTTGTTGCTCATGTGGTATTCACCCCGCCCCCCTTCGCTTCCCACTCCCCTCTCTTATACGCTTGAGGGTTGAATGCTAAACTCGTGTGCACTAACAGTTTGGGGTCACTTAAATCTCACTTGAATTTCAGTTCTGCCCACAGGGACAAAGGAAGCTCCTTCTGTACTCTGGGCTTCCTGAGCCGTTGCTTTCCGGCAAGGTAATATTCGAAGTATCCCTCTTTCTCTCTCTGGTAGCTCGTGTTTGCCATGACAATCATGAGAAGCCGGCATGTGTAGCCGCATGCTATGTTGACTTGTAATATATTGTTTGAGTTTTATGTCTTGAGAAAATTGCCGATGGAACATTGCAGGCAGACTTTTTTTTTTCTAGGAAAAGAATAGACTCACATGTCAAGTGAATTTCTGTTTCTCTTTTCTCTATCTTGATGATTTAGCACGGTAGTTTGATATATGGTGTTTATGGTCAGATGTCAGTTCCTCGTCTGTCTCTTATTACCTATACCTTGTATGGTGGATCAGACAAAATAGGAGAATAAGTTCGCTTGTAACTATTGTAATAAATAAGGTTAACTAACTGGACATTAAACACAGCATTTAAACTATCCTTTAATCGTTTTACGTCTAGATTAATACAGAGGATATTCAGCTTAAGACTCGAACTGCATAAAACTGAGATAAAATCAATATTATTCGCTGAAGTAACTACATCACTGTAAGTCTTCTTCAGCCTGGTTTACTGGTAACAGAAGGCATAGCAAGAATACTTTTTTCTTATTTCGTTATGCTAATCTCCTTATGGTCTTGCTAGTTTGTTTTGCAGCGCGTTGTTCACGCTAGTGACACAAGATATCATATTAAAAGATGCGTTCTTTGCGTTTGCGTGACCTCGCTGTTTTGTCTTTATGACGATGTTGTGATCCAGGCCTTACAAGTTACATTTATAGTTTGGTTCACAGAGAGAAGATTTTGATTTGTAATTGCTAACAACCCTTCACCGCTCGACTAAGCTACAGTTGTTTTACATTTTGGTAAGTACTTGACTACTTGGTACAAACAACACAGGTTAGTTCATAGCCATGAATGTACGGTTTGCAAGGTAAGGCATGCCCACAATCTCCCTGTACAACGTACAACAAAGCGCCATTTGTGTCTTTGTGACTTCCTGGCACAGACTCGGCATCTACGTCAACGCACACAAATTCACTAGGATGGGCATGGTAGTAGTGAGAGGTCATCAGATACCCATAATACTCTCTGGTCCAACCTGAAGGACACTTGTTGGTTCCAGGAATCGTCACTTGGGACCCACGTGATCTGACGTAACACACAGCGCAAGGTGCTTCATGTTCACTAAGATCGCCTTTTGTAAAGCCTGCAAATGATGTTTGGTACTCGGTACCGTATATTGCTGCTGTACCCTGCCACCCACTCTGGTATTTGTCATATATAGGATTGTTGGTTAGACAGACGTAGTTGGTGCCACCACCGGTGTGATCGTAGTATCCACCGCCCATCGCGCCTACAGCAAAACCAAAGGATATGCATCAAACACTGACCCGAGCAACACAGTACCGAGGATTGAGTGGCCGAGTAAGAGAAAGATGGAAGCACAAAATGACGAGGAAACTCTAAAAGATGCGTCTAAGAATTGTCATTGGCTATGCGCCGTTGGGACAAATCAGAAAAAAAAACAATTCCCTACCCCCTATCCCCCCTCTGTGGGCGAGCTGTTTTAAACGCAGGGGTTCACTATATAAGGAAACCTTCCTAAGGAAGATTTTTATAAGTTGACGATTAACCGAGAAACATGGTGGAGTAGATTAGGTTTTTCCATTTCAACTCTTAGCCCTCGTCAGTCATGAATGAATGTTATAGGTCTCCGTAAGGTTTTAACATCATTATTCTAACTTTGAGTACATGATTTAATTTTCCCCCAACTTACCTGTGTACACCGTAATGGCATCTCCTGAGCAGTTCGTTCGTCCCCAGCGGTTGTAACTCACACCTGACAGCGCCGGTCCTTCTGGTCCTATTGTTCCTTGAGGGCCGGCAGGTCCCTGGGGCCCAGGACTTCCAGCTCGACCAACATCACCTGTTGTTTTAAAACAATCAAATAATGTATTGTTTTATTGCTTGTAACACAAACTTCGGCAAAGTAGAATCATGGGTTTTTATTAATTAGATAAACGTTGTTGGCTTCCCTGGACTTACTTTCATTATATACTGATATTTAGTAAAGATGTGATAAATTGAAAAAAAAAAAAAGTAAATAAAAACCAACAAACATGAAACGAATGAAAAACCAATCGTGAAACATCTATAGGTGAATAGTCTCTTCCCAAGACTCTTGAACGGACAACGATCAAGAGTAGCCCGGAGGAGCCATGTTACAGATTGGTAATAGCAGAATAAGCTTGTAACATACATTTACTAGTTTGAGATACCTTTTGGTCCTGAAATCCCACGAGGACCCGCGGGACCTTCTCTTCCGTCTCTACCGTCCCGTCCTGAAAATGTCAATATATGATTGTTAATTTAAACTGTAAAGTCGTAAAAGCATCTGACTGTTATAACAACAGGGAGTGATTCAAACTAACTGAGCAGCCAACTGTAAGCCAAACCTAGCTAAAACTTAGAGCTGGCTCTACCTAGAAAATCTTCGTTCTAAGATCGTCCGACAAGCTAAGTGAGCCATTAAATTATCATCTCCGAAAATGAGTTACTTGCTTATTTTCTTTCAATACCGTAGAGTGTACACTGTGCACAAGAATCCTGAAAGCCTGTTGAAAGTTCTCTGGTTTCGGAAAAAGAACAAATCTACTCTCATCTCGCAGTCCCTTGTGTGACCGTCACACCGGAAACAAAGTAAGAGGGTGATAAAGTATATTTTCGTGACCCGTGGTCGGCCCTTTTTATTTCCTGTGAAATGTGAAATAGCCATCTTTTTCCTCGTGAATCGTGATTTCCATAGTCGCCGTGAACCGTGATTTTCCAAAACTTTCTCTTTTATTTTCCGTGAAGCGTGAAATGCCAATGTTGTGTTTTTCGTGAATTGTGAAAGGGTTGCTTTATTTTCCGTGAAACGTGATCTATACCCCCCCCCCCTCCCCTCTTTACCACCCCCAAGTAACTGAAAAGGTGAGAAGCCATATTGTCTCCAGGAACGATCCCACGGGCAAATAAAATAGCACGCTTAGTCTGAATAGCGATAAGAAATGGATTAGTTTATTAATTACCAGAAGGTCCGGGAGGTCCTGGCTTGCCATCTCGTCCGTCTCGACCTAAACAATATTTCTTTCAATCAGTACTCCCCTGTGTTTATTTTTTAAATTCGGTTGATTAAAATCATCCAAATTCCCATGCACGTCTTCTTTCATGTTTTAATAAAAGAAAACCTGAAACGTCTATAACACAAACAACTCTGTAATTGGAGTAATCGGAGGTCTATCTGTTCCTTAGATTACAAGGGCATATAAAAAATTGCCAGATAAATATATAACGGCCTTACACTAATATTCTCCTCAGTAATGAGATGATGTACTAGACAGTGATTTCTGCTAAACTTCTCCCAACCTTTGGTCTAATTTATTGTATTTATATTTCTGGAAGAAAATGGATCATGGAAAATCTAATACATTGTGATTTTGAAGTAAATAATACTAATAGAAACAACTAATAAATAATTGTTTACTGACCTCGAAGCGAGGACTTCATACGCAAGTCTTTAGAAAGGTTTACTGTTCTGCGAAATTAAACAAAACACTTCACCAACGGGAGCCAATTCTGTTTCATGGTAAAGTTTCTACCTCTAAATCTAACTTACAATTTGCCAAGTAAACAAACTTTGGCCGCTCGCAGAAGATCCAAAACGAGACTCGCTCGGGTCACGCGTCAAAAGAGTGACAACCTGGTGACTAGACGTTATTAATTGACAGTATCATTTTTCCTTCATAACTTTATTTAGAATGAATCTTTTTACGTGGAACTTGTGTTTTAAATTAAATGTAGCAAAGAAGTCTTACTGAAATTATCAAGCACGTTCGTTTTGAAAATTGTCAATTTTAGGGTCATGGCACTGCATCTTCAGTGGAATCAGGTGTACTATAAATCAGATATATCTGAACAAATACGTGTTTTACCTGCTTTCCAGTGCGATAAGTCTCTTTGTCAGGCCTGACAAAGTTGTTGTCGGGTTAGCATTTCGCTCATGTCTTACATGCACGGCGCTCAGAGATTCTTTGACGCCATTCTTGGAATTCTCAGAAATCTCACTGAGCTTGCTTTCAAGTAAAGCAACTCGCCTTTCCATGGAGACCAGTGAAACAAACAGGATGACAAAGCAAGAAATCATGCACACTATTGCCCCGAAGTACACGAAGGAGCGAAATCCCTCCGTCACCAAATTACGATTTGCTGGTTTTCGTTCCGTACTTAATTCTTGCTCCATTTGAGCCAAGTGGATTCAAACCCCAAATTTGGTATATTCTGCTAAGATTTGTGGCAAAACGTGAACCCGCCGGCAGTAATGCTTTCTCTTGTTGGAGAATGGGCCTGATGTAATGGTTACAGAACATTAATTAATATCACGCGTAGAACGGCTTTTTTATCACGGGTTATACAGCAGTTGTTTTAGTCGGTTTCAATTTCATTTTCAATTAAGTTGTACGCAACTGTACTTCAAGAGTGTTAATACAATTTTTATTTGCCTCATTGCTGTAGTTTTCTGTACTTTTACTTGGATGTGGCTTTATTAAACAACAACTATGTAATTCACAAATGGCAAATCACTGCCCCGAGCCAACAAAAAAAACAAAAAACAAAAAAAGAGGGAATCGAAATAAAAATGAAAGTGGGTGAATTTTGGGGTCGCCAAAATGATAATACATGAATTGCTGATTTTCATGTGACTTTTTCATATTTCGAAATTAAAAACAAGAAATACCTATCCCTCTGAGTTTTCAATTGTAATCAGATAACACCCTCAGATCTAAGAACGTTAAGTTTTACAAAGTTGTAGCTCGACAGGGTTCATAAAATAGAGTAAGGAAAAACCTGTCGCGTAAGTCAAAAGATGTCTTATATTTTGGGTATTTGCTAACTAACATTCCTTGAATTAGACCAAGTATTAATTTCAGTGTCCCGAGCTCTAAAGTAACGGACCAACCTTAAGGCATTTCTCTTTTCAGTTTTGTGGCATTGTATTCTTTTAAGTTGCCATTAAATTGAGAAAAACAAACAAACCATTAAAAAAAACAATAATTAATCATTTTCAAAAGAGTTGGGAAAGAAAATGTCAACCACAAACCTGCAATCAAAGAAAGGGCATCTCAGACAGCTGAGAAACCGTGGGGCTTTTTCTCTTTTCACCAAACTGTGGAAACACATTGTCCTCTTCTTTTGCCGAAGGGGCCGGAAAGTACTCAGAGCGCTGAACACAAGCAGTTTTACATGTCGATGTCGAAGGCCGTCCAAGAATCATCCCGGTGGTGCAAACGGCAGTCCGAGCCATGAAAAAGAGGCCAGAATGTAAGTTTTGAAAGTCTATCTTGACAACGTAATTCCAAATTGCACAGCATTATTTTAGTACCAGCGAATGCGAAGGCAGACGACGATGTTTGGTGCGAAGCAAGGCCTTTTGGGGTCAACAGCCTCGCAAATTTGATGAAAAGAATCAGCGAAGCAGCCGGGCTGTCGAAAATATATACATGTACAAACCACAACATTAGAGCGACAGCTACAACCCTGTGGTCCAATGGTGTCGTACGTAGTCGTCATATAATGTCCAATTCACATCACCGAAATGAGCAATCCCTCGCTCATTGCAACTCGCGTCCTTCTTTTTCTCAGGTACATATCTGCAGTGATGTGTTGAGGGCACTTTCCGGCGGAAAGCAGACCTGTCATCCTTCGGGTCAGCAGATTGACAAAAGATCTACAAGTTGTCATCAGCAAACCAGTCCGTCGCAGGCAGCAAAGGCAGTTCCGATCTTTAAAGAATGAGCAATTCATAATGTGCAAGTTGTTTTCCACTCCTCGGAAACCCGGTCACTCTTTTTCTTTACGTAAGAGTTTTTCTTTGGCAGTTCGAGCTCAATTTTGTCGTCTTCCAAACTTCAATGACAACTCGAACTTTGTTACGTTGTCAGTTGGAATACACAAAACGAACTGGGAATAATTCAGCAAGTTTCGAAGTGTCAGCATGTCCGTTTCCCGCGCTTGGGCGTAATTTCACCTTCACGTAAG